GCCGCGGGCGGGCCCGCGCTGCCGCGCTCGGTCCTGGTAAGTCCCGACGCCAGCGGCTTCCTCCTCCGCGCCTCGTGCTGTCGGCGCCCACGCGCCAGCCGCGTGCGCTGCCTGCTCCGGGCCGTCCCCGCTGTAAAGGGTGGCCGTGGGGGCCTCCGTGAGGCCGCTACGCCTCCTGCGACCGCGGGCGCGCTGTTAGGAGCCAGCTGGTCTGGCCCACGTGCCTCGGCCTAGCCCTGCGCTTACGCCCGGTAGCACGCCGGCTTCCGGGCGCAGGCCTACGTCCTCCCGGTGTCCTCCCTCGGTGCTTTACTGCCTGGCCTCCGCCAGTCAGCGGGAGCTGTGAGGCTGCGCCAGGCAGACTGCCCAGCTGCAGCCAGGCCTGAACCCCCAAAGCACTCCTGAGGGTGAGGGTCTCCTGGCACCTCAGCAGTACCTGGGAATGGGGCGGACTGGCCATTTGGGGTTGGTGCGATGATGTTGAAAAGCGGTGTCGGCCTAGAGGGCCTGGATTCTAGAGTCTGTCAGAGGGGAAGACTTGGCCGGCCAGTGACTACCTACCTACGCGTGTCACCAATCTGTGTGGCCCTGGGTGAGTCCATTCCTGTTTCTGTATCTGTACAACCAAGCGGGGGCTCAGTGAGCCCTGGGTGAAGTAGACCTCCATTTTCAACTCCTCTGTATTGGATGGAAACTTGCTTTCTCCTTAAGCCTAAACAGCGATTAACATGCCTACTGTCTTTGCTAAATAACCCGAAACTCACTACCCTAGGATGTTCCTCAGTGACTGTAATCCGTCCCAGATCCCTTGCCCTGAGCCATGAAGACCTGTTAAGATAGGGATGAAACATACCCCTAATGATTAACCTGCTTGTTTTGCTTCTGTGATTTGCTTTTACATTGTAAAGCCCTACCCTTTCAAACCCAATTGCCACATCAACCTGGAAGAGTATGATTTTTGCCTTTATAAGCACCCTTCACCTTGCATTCCCAGCTGCTGTTTTGAGAGACATTGTCCTCCCCCACCCCCATGCAGCTGGCTTAATCAATAAAGCGCCAATAAATTTGGCTGTCTCTGGATGTCTTACTTCTCTCAGACTATAATATGGGGACTCTGCAGATCCTGTACTTTCACCATCCAGGTCCAGTCTGTAAACAGGGTGAGCTCCTCACTGCCCTTTAAAGGACTTAGTTCTGGCTTTTATTTAAAAAAAAAAAAAAAAGTTTGAAAAAGATTTTTGGTATAGGGCGTGTGTGCTTGCCAGAGACAGAAAGATAGAAAGCGAGAAACCACTCCCCAGTGGGGAGATGGCTATGCCATAATCCCATCTTTCTCTTTTCGGAATCTTGGGCACGCACGTGCACACCCCCCCTCCCCCCCTTCTGTGTGAGTTATAAGCCACCTGATTTGGAACTTGAACCGTAGTCAACCATATGGGAGTCCAGCAACATAACCATTACACCATCTGCTGGCCCCGTCCTGGTTGTTTTCTTTTTACACTTTAAAAAAAAATTATTTAATTTTATTCATTTTAGCTTGACCAAAGAGGGACAGAGAGAGAGAGAGAAAGCCACCAGGGGCCCGGAACTCGAACCACAGTCAGCCATATGGGAGTCCAGCACCCTTAACCACCACACCATATGCTGGTCCCCTGGTTCTTGTTTTCACAAGGGAGATGCGAAGGAGCAGTCAGGCCTCTGTTGGAAACCCAAAGAGGAGGAAGCCCAGAGAGGGCTCAAAGACAGCCCTTGATGGCTCACCATTCACCTGTGCTGTCATCTTCAAGGCCTACCTGCTTGAGTCCTCTCCAGAATGGGGAGGCTTGGCTGACCCCAAGCAACACCAGCTCAACAGTGCCCTCTACAGGCAGTGCTCCATGTCTCATGAGACCATGTGCAGCACCCAGACCTGGAGCCATGCACTACAGAAAGGAGGGCTGAGACAGCAGCAGTGGCCAAGATGGCCACAGAGGGCAGAACGGGGGCCAGAAGAGAAATCATGGAAGCAGATCTTAAATCCTGTTGCAACCATTCTGATTTGGAGGTACTGAAGCCTCACTGAAGTAGTGAGTTCCCTATTCTTGGAGGTATTCTGGAGGACTGGCTGGTCACTTACAAAGGGAGATGGAGACAGAACTGATGCATCAGATGAGGACTAGATGACTTCAGCAGTCCATTTAGCCTGGAGCCACTGTAACTGGTAAGAGGGAAAGGTGTGTTCGTACAATGTGGCAGTCAGCATCCTTTCCCACCCTGCTTTCCAACGGCACACCCAATGGCCCATCTACAGTGGCTGAATCCTGTGCTTTGCAAGGTGGCCCTGGATTCTCATGCTGTAAAGGACGCTTATTCGACACATCACATAAGGTTAGCAAGCAAGAGGTCAGCATTCATATTTGTATCTTTTCAAAGATCTGCTCATCAATTAAATGTCTGAGGGGTCGGCAAGTAGAGTGGGGGTTTGGGGCACTTGACTCCCACATGGCTGACTGTGGTTTGAGTCCTGGCTTGCTTTCTCACTTTCCTGCTCTCTGATCAAATTAAAATAATGATAAATAAAAATAAATTTTTTATAAATTAAATGGCTGGTGCTTCTAATGGAGGAAGACTTGATGCTTGAATATAGAGGGGGAAAAAACATTCTGTCAGGCCTGGAGTCTAAGTGAGCCCACACTGGGCCTTGAGTCAGCCCAAATGTCTACAGATCCAAAGCTTTAAATTAATCTGGATGGCTGCACTTAGCAGTCCACCAAATGGCAGGCCACAATCTGACCAGGACTGAACCAGGAAAGCACACCTCTCAATGAGGTCCACCTATCACTGTGGCAGTATGAAGGGGATGGGGCAGATCCACATTCCCCCATGCCTGGTCTGAGCTGGTCCGTGTATGGCCTTGAGTCAACCAATATGTCTGCAGACTTGTTATCCCAGAGCCAGCTGGCCTTACTTTGAGTTTTTCTTTCTGTGTGCCCCTGAATCCCAAGAGGATGGAAATGGTTTGAGTCCTGGCTTGCTTTCTCACTTTCCTGCTCTCTGATCAAATTAAAATAATGATAAATAAAAATAAATTTTTTATAAATTAAATGGCTGGTGCTTCTAATGGAGGAAGACTTGATGCTTGAATATAGAGGGGGAAAAAACATTCTGCCAGGCCTGGAGTCTAAGTGAGCCCACACTGGGCCTTGAGTCAGCCCAAATGTCTACAGATCCAAAGCTTTAAATTAATCTGGATGGCTGCACTTAGCAGTCCACCAAATGGCAGGCCACAATCTGACCAGGACTGAACCAGGAAAGCACACCTCTCAATGAGGTCCACCTATCACTGTGGCAGTATGAAGGGGATGGGGCAGATCCACATTCCCCCATGCCTGGTCTGAGCTGGTCCGTGTATGGCCTTGAGTCAACCAATATGTCTGCAGACTTGTTATCCCAGAGCCAGCTGGCCTTACTTTGAGTTTTTCTTTCTGTGTGCCCCTGAATCCCAAGAGGATGGAAAAATGAAGGGAAGGGACTGTGACCACACTAGGCGGAAGGTGCTCACCTCCCCACTCCCTGAATGTACATGCCCTCTGGCAAAATTAAAGCTAAAGTCAATACATTTGTCACAAAAAGGGAAAGGGTGAAAAAAAAAATGCAGAGCAGGAACCAGCAGATGGTATAATGGGTACGTCGCTGGACTCCCACGTAGTTGACCATGGTTCAAGTCCTGGACCCGGCGGCTTAAACTCATGCTGGGTGCGTGTGCATGTGCCCAAGATCCTAAGAGGAGAAGGGATTGCGACATGGCCATCTCCCCTGGGGGGAGTGATTTCTTGCTTTCTGTATCTCTGTTTTTCTGGCGAGCAAGTGCCCTATAGCAAACCCCTCCCACCCAAAAAATGCAGAGACCAAGCGAGCAGAAAGATAAGGAGACTGAAAGACAGCTATGGCTAAAAGTATTTCCCTTCAAATGCCCAAAGCAAATTCTATGGCCTCTTTGGTGCTTAACCTCTTGTGGTCACTCTCCTCTCCTCTACTGCTGCAGCTCTTGCCACCTCAATTTATCTTCATTTTACTTACTAGCATCAACTCTACCCCAGCCCTTTGCACCTCCATTAAAGGGGGGAAATGCTGCTGTATAGAAGTATTTTGTTGCATATTGCAGTTTTTAGCTCAAGGCGCTCAGGTAAACACCTGAAAAATAATTACCAACAGAAAGCAATCACAGGGAACCAGCAGTCAGCGTAATGGCTATGTCGCTGGACTCCCACGTAGTTGACCGCAGTTCACGTCCCGGACCCGGTGGCTTAAAACTCACGCCGGGCGTGTGTGTGTGTGCATGCATGCCCGAGATCCCGAGAGGAGAATGGAGGAGAAGGGATTACGGCGTGACCATCCCCCCGGGGGGTGATTTCTCGCTTTCTGTCTCTCTGTCTGGCAAGCGCACGCGCCCTATAGCAAAAACCTCTCCAAAAAAAAAAAGAGAGAAAGCAATCACACAAATGAAAATGGGCTCCATGTTCAAAATGATTAAGTCTATGTACTCTTAAGAATTTCTGACTTTTCAACTGGGACCAAGGGGAACAAGCTGCCAGAGCTGCTGTGGGTTAAAGCCAGGTACCAAAGATGACCCTTTCATCTCCATAAGGACAAAATCAGAAAGTTAAACATATATCTGAAAAGTTGCTATTTAAATACAAGAAGAAATATAAAAGGGATTTTGTAACACATTCACACAATTACACTAATCTTTGAAATTTAAAGAAAAAATTTATTGAAGATCTGAAAAACAATTCCTAAAAGATCGACTTCAGAAAACTGTAGCTACACAATGCATTGCGTCTACCATGTTAAAACGTGCATTAGACACAAATACAAAACCATGAAACAAGCCACCATTCTTCAACAATTTGAGCGAAGATAATGCCTAAGGAACAACATGGATGACTTGCAAAGGATGGGCTCTTTACTTTAAGCACCATTAAAAAAAAAAGTCCATCATTGAATACACTGGCAGCAACTTTGAAATGAAAAGAAAGAAAAGGAAAAAGGAGCCGAACCCCTTTTATTTTCTCTGTTTAAAATCAAACAGAAACAAACATCAATTCTGTTGTACACTAACATCTTCAAAGTACATAGTTTGTACAAGAGAAGGACTAAGAACAAAAATGTGTTTACAGAGATCCAAACACAGATGAGCGAGTGAGCCCCTCACACAGCTTTCCGATGGTACTCCGGGGGAGCCACTTCATAATCGCTGGCACTAAACAAAGTTGCAGAATTCTTTGCCAGGTACCTAAAAACAAAATGTCACTCATTAAAATTTCACAAAACATCTTACCTTGATGCAAACCTCTTATTACATTTATTATTACATAGGTAAGCCACATAAATCACCTCCCTTAAGTACACTTAAAAATAACCACTACCTCCCAGTAAAACCATGTCATTACAACTGGGTTGAACGGGGGGGGGGAGGGGGGGGAAGACGACACACACAACACAATGCATCATAAAGGGCGAATCTGGAGTTGCACTGTTATTACCAAACAAAGAAGACAAGAGAGCTTGGACTCTCTTTAAGCAACAGTTATTATCCCCCCTTTTTTTGGAGAGGTTTTTGCTATTGGGCACACGTGTTTGCCATAAAGACAGAGAAAGCGAGAAATCACCCCTCCAGGGGGGATGGCCACAACACAATCCCTTGTCCTCCATTCTCTCAGATCTTCAGCACGCGTGTACACACGCGCGCCTAGCTGAGTTTAAGCCACTGGGTCCAGGACTCAAACCACAGTCAACTACAGGGAAGTCCAGCGACACAGCCATTACGCCCACTGCTGGTCCCAAGCAACAGTTATTATCCTTTGACAGTATTATCTCAAAATAATATCCATATACACAAGTAATCGTCAAGTTTAGATTTTAAATTAACACTTTTTTTTTTAACAATATATATATTTTAAAGAATTATCATGGCACCCGCTGGCCCCGACACTTTTTAAGAGGTTTTTGACTTAGGGTGCCTGCACTTGCCAGAGAGAGAAACAGACAGTGAGAGGAAAAATGAGAAAGCACCCCGCCCCCAGGGGGATAGCCATGCTACAATCCCTTTTTCTGGGATCTTGGGCATGCACGCACATATGCTTGGCGTGATTTTCAAGCCACTGGGTCTGGACTCAAATTGCAGTTGGCCATGTAAGTCCAGTGATGTAACCACTAGGCCATCTGTGAGCCCCAAAATCAACACTAATAAAAGTTGGGCCAGCAGGTGGTATGGAGGTTAAGGAGCTAGGATCCCCACATGGCTGACTGTAGTTTGAGCCCTGGACCTGGCAGTTTGAAAATCATGCCAGGTAAATATATCTGTGAGCCCAAAATCCTGAGAGGAGAACAGGGAGAGAATTGCACCATGGCCAAATCCCTGGGGGAGGGGTAGAGTGTAGAGTTGATTTCTCACTTTTCTCTGTCTCTGGCAAAAACATATGCCTATGGCAAACCTAAAATAAAAATAAATATATTAATCAAAGGGACCCAAAATGCCAAGGAGGACTTTCATTTCAAACAAAGTTAGGTCTGCAGAACTTATCATTAGTAGAACAAAGGCTATAAATCTGTTCATATTCTCAAGACCCTTGCTGTAATTCTGAAAATTTTATTATAAAACATAGTCACTCAAGACAATTCAATACAGAAATTGTCAAAACAAAATTGAAAAATTCTACCTTTCCTCTCAGTACTATGCCAAGAAATAATCTATTAAGATCCATGTATTGGAATACTAGATTTTTCCCCCTGAAGAATGAAATGTTTCTCCACAAATGAGGGGACTTACCTTACACACCTGTTCAATTTGTGTTTCTTTTTTCCTTCAGTTAACGGATACAACGTGCAAATTTTCCCTTATCAGTATATTTAGAAGAACTTCATCCTTTTAGTAACTGCTAGGTTATTAAAAATTTTCACTATTATAAAAATTCCCTCCAAAAAGTTATTGAAAGTAAGATGGCCCATTTCTCCAGTCTTTTAAGTCTTAGCCAATCTTTTTATTTTTTAAAAATGTTTTGAGATTTTTGCTTCATAGTGCATGCATTCACGAGAGAGACATAGAGACAGACAAAAAGTGAGAAATCACCCCCAGATAGGATAGCCCTACTGCAAGCCCTTCTCTTCTATTCTCCTCTCGGGATTTTGGGCATGCACATGAGCCGAGTGTGAGTTTTAAATTGCCAATTCTGGGACTTGAACCATAGTTGACTACATGAGAGTGTAGCAACATAATCATTACACCATCTGCTGGTTCCACCAATCTTTTTCTTAAAAAAAAAAAAAAATTTAATTTTACTTATTACTATCTTTTTAAAATTTGATCAGAGAGAGATGGGAAAAGTGAGAAAGCAAGCTGCCAGGTCCCAGACTCAAACGCAGTCAGCCACATGGGAGTCTGGTGCCTCAACTACCACTCTATGTTGGCTCCACGTCTTAGCCAATCTTTTTCTTTTTTAATTAAAAAAATGTTTGTTATTATTACTATTATTATTATTATTATTCTATTTGGCATTACTTTTTTAATTTAATCAGAGAGAGAAAGGGAAAGTGAGAAATCAAGCCACCAGGTCTGGGACTCAACTGTGGTCTGTCTGCTGGGCCCCTTAGCCAATCTTAACAAGATATTTTAGCGGTAGCATAATTTATATTTTCTAATCACAAGGTTGCACACTTTTTTCTTGAAGTCTGCCATATTTTTTTCCCAGCGCCTTAACCACTATGTCATCTGCTTGCCCTGGGTTGCACATATTTTAAATTGTCCTTTGTACTGCCATTTTTGTAAATTTCCTACGTCCTATTTTTCATTGGTTTGTTCACCAGAGCACTTTACCATATATCTAACACTATGAAACAATGAGACTAGTAACCTACATTTTTTCATTATACTTATCATAATTTTAGATTCTTTCTTTCTTTGAGAGGTTTTTGCTATAGGGCGTGTGTGCTCGTCAGAAAGACAAAGAGACAGAGTGCAAGAAATCACTGCCCCTGGGAGGGATGGCCATGCCACAATCCCTTCTCCTCTCGGGATCTTGGGCACCCACAAATTCGTGCTTGCATGAGTTTAAGCCACTGGGTACGGGAATCGAACCTCAGTCGACTACATGGGAGTCCAGTGACATAGCCATTATGCTAACTGCTGGTCCCAGATTCTCATTTCTGACCTGTCTACAAGTAAGGTGCATGACCCTAACGGTGGCTCTTTATGTTCTCCCAAATTAACTGCTAGGTGTCTCATCACCAATGCATTAAGGTCTCCAGCGTTTTCTCCAACTGCACCAATATAATAACCATTATCATTTGTGAGATTCCCATACTTGCATTTATTTATATTGTTTTATGGAGTATCTATTGACATCTATACAAAACTGTATGTTTTTATATCTATACAGTTAATCTCTTCTATCATGCAGTAATTTGCAATATGTTATATAATTCACATTTATAATCCCAAACTTACTGAGACTTACTTTAGGAAATCGTGAAGATAATTCAGTAATAAAGCAAGGCTCTTCTCATCAAGAGGTGTATAGGCCAACATTGCACCAATCCGTACTATTGGAACAAAAGAATTTGAAAGAAGTTACATCCAAGGCAGCACTTACAACCCTCTTATCTTAATTATGTCAGCAAATGCCACATTACTCATTCCTTTAAAATATACAACTTAAAAAACTCTTAACTTTTATAGATTTTGCTATTCCACATTTACACAAAACTTCAAGATGGAATGAAGCCATGTTTTAGAAAGTTAGTTTACTTCTTGCTCATTAAGGGAAGACCAATACATTCAATTATAAAAGCCTAGGGCAAAAGAAGTAAAACCACGTTTTCTACGTGACACATTACCAAATAATCTCAGTAGATGAGGTGCTCCATACACCTGGGACATGGGTGCATCAGGGTGATCTGCAAGGATCTCAGCATACTGTGGTCTCTCAAACTTGTAGAGCAGCTGAGTGCCCAACATGACGTTGAAGTATTCTTTTATACCTGCCACAACTTCATTCACAGCATACTCCCTGATAAAGGAACACACACTTACTTTCAAAACTGGTTACTGAAAATTGAAATAGGACAAACACTGAGGTAAAGAATCTAAGATTAATCTAATGGCAAGCAACCACTACTGAGACTTTTAAAAAGGGAGCTAAAGGGGCTGGCAGGTGGTATAGTGACTGGGGTCACTGGACTTTCACACGGTCGACCATGGTTCGAGTACGGGCCTGGTGGCTTACTTTTTCATACCCATACCCCCTCCCCGTCACTCTGTCAAATTAAGAAATAATAATACATAAATTTAAAAATTCTTGTTTTTGTTTTGTTTTGGCTATAGGGCATGTGCCAGAAAGACAAAGAGACAGAAAACGAGAAATTACTCCTCCCCAGGGGGGATGGCCATGCCACAATCCCTTCTCCTCTCAGGATCTTGGGCACGCACACACACATGCTCAGCATTGAGTTTAAGCCACTGGGTCCAGGACTCAAACCGTGACTGACTACTACATGGGAGTTCAGCAACATAGCCATTGCACCAACTGCTGGTCCTGATAAGATGGATTTTATACTTTGAAATTGTTAAATGTTAAGGTATGTAAGTACTTCCATGCTAGTAAATAGCTACCTGGCCCTTTCAAATTGCCAGACAACCCATGTTAAACCTGTGAATTCTATTTGGCTAGTTTCTATATATGTATATATACAAATATATACACATTTTTAGGTTTTTGCCTTAAGGCACATAAGCTCACTCAATAGAGTGAGAGAGAAAATGAGAGATCACCCACCGGGGTGGATAGCCATGTCATAATCCCTTTTTCTCCATTCTCTTCTTGGAGTTTTGGGCATGCTTATACATGTGCTCAGCATGGAGTTGCAAGCTGTGGAGTCCAGGAACTCTATCTGTAGTCAGCCACGTGAGAATCCAAAACCTTAACCACCACACTACCTTATTTGCAAATATTTTTCTTAAAAAGGTCTTAGGGTATGTTTGGAAGGTATATACACTTACTTATTATCGGTGTTTCCTCGAGATTTCTTATAATTTGCATAATCCTCCAGAATGGAATCCACATTCTTCTTAGCAGGAAGATAAAAGAGCTATGAAAACAACAACACTCTTGAATACATGTATTCTCTTAAAAAAAAAAAATCATACTAGAAAAGCTTTCAGACTTCATGATTTCCTAAAGTCTCAATTTATTCAGTATGAAACGTGGATAATGTGGGAGACACTAAAAGTTTAATTATATTTAATTTCAATTTAAATAGCTGCTGTCAAAGTGCTACCACGCTGGACAACACAGCTCTATAAAGACTGGCAATCCCCACCACAGTTGAAGTTCTGAGTCTTCCTGAAAACTCTCTCGGTAAGAATCCTGATAAACTGACAGGCTGTGCAAAGGGGATTACGGTGTGATGAGAGTCTGTCAAGGGAGCCTATCTCTCTTGGGCACAGGTGCAAGATTTTCATAAGGAAAAAAAGACAGTCTGCTTTACGCACACATACTTCTCACTATATAGAGAAATACATCACACGAATATGCCTTCCTGACACTACCATTCACCGTATGATTAAGGTCAGACATGATCTGGAGCATTAACACAATCTCCCTCTCCATCCTTTTATCAACACTATGAGGTAATGTTCCACTAAATGTGGAAACTAAAAACACAGAAAGGCTGAGAAACTTGTCCAAGATAGTTAATTGGTAGGGCAATGGCTCAAATCCTGGCAGCTTAGCATCATCCTCCAAAGGATTCCAATTATGTCCATTTAGTGTACATGATTGACAGGTCTTTTAATTCTCATCCCTACTCTTGCCCCACCATCACCATTTTTACCTGTACCAGTTGTTTGTTTGTTTAAAGAAATGCTTTACTGGTCTCAACGGAACTCCACCTCAACTGATTTTTTTTTTTGGAGAGGATTTTGCTAAAGGGCGCGTGTGCTCACCAGACAGAGACAGAGAGACAGAAAGCAAGAAATCACCCCCTAGGGGGGATGGCCATGCCACAATCCCTTCTCAGTTCTCCTCTTGGGATCTTGGGCATGCATGCACACGGGTCCTGCTGAGTTTTAAGCCACTGGGTCCATGACGCGAACCGCAGCCGACTACATGGGAGTCCAGTGACACAGCCATTACGCTAACTGCTGGTCCCTCAACTGGGTTTTCACACCACAGTTGAACCCCCTGGCCTTACTCAGCCAGGATCACAAAGATGTATGTCACAGGTATACTGGGAGAACTCAAGTTGTGAGCCTTGTACCTTCCCAATGGCTTTAGCAGTACTTTATCGCTGCACTTTGATGACAATTCCTGTGAACTAGTAATTAAGACCTATCTTAGACTCGGGTTCTTTTTTTTTTTTTAATAATATTTTATTTTATTTATTCATTCACTTATTTTTTAGTTTGACCAGAGAGACACAGAGGGTGACAGTGAGAAAGAGAGGAAGTGAGAAAGTAAGCCACCAGATTCAGGACTTGAACCCTGGTCGGCCATGTGGGAGTGTCCAGCGCCTTAACCACCACACCACCTGCTGGTCCTCCATAGATTCAGGTTCTTTGGGGAGCTATGAACACCTTGCAAGGGGGCATTGCATGCTTTTTGCATTCCATTAACAAGGACATACACCAGGAACTTCATCCCCCCTGGGGGGTGACTTCTCGCTTTCTGTCTCTCTCTTTCTGGTAAGTGCATTTGTCCTATAGCAAAAACCTCCCCCCGCCCCAAAAGTTTCAGGGCCAGCAAGTGGCATGGCAGTTGAGATGCTGGACTCTCACATGGGTGAATGCAGTTCAAATCCAAGATCTGGTGGCTTGCTTTCTCAATTTTCCTCTCTTTCTCTCTCTCTGGTCGATTTCTAATAAATAAACAATTAAGATAATAAAAATTTAAAAAGGTTTCAGTGCTATGCTGGTGGAACACACTAAGATGATATGTTCCACAGGCTGGAAACCACAATCTAAAGGTTGGGCATGGTGGTGTGTGCCTACAGTACCAGCAACTTGGGAGGCTGAAGTAGAAGGGCTGCAAGTTCAAGCCTGGCATGGGCAACACAGCAAGATCCCTTCTAAAAGCCAGATGTGCATACCAGTATTCCCAGATAGGAGGCTTAGGCAAAGGGATCATGATATAGAGAGACTTCTTTATTTGGGGGGGTGCGTTTCTTTGGTGCACAATAAAAAAAAATTCATACATAGTTGTTTTTTTTTTTTCTTTAAACATTTATTTATTTATCTATTTACTTGTGATTTTTAAGCTGCCAGTTCTGGGACTCAAACTGCTGCTGGTCATGTGGGATGAATCCAGCACCTTGACCACCAAGCCACAGCATTTTCCCATCAACTTTCTAAAGACCTCTTGGGCTTGGATAGTCCATCCTCAATTATCTAAAACAATAAACACATACTTCTTTGCTTTTACAAACTTTTAAGAATGAGTTCCTACCTCAGTAACCTCCAAAAAAATGAGCTACCTCCACTTTTAAAAATCAACCTAACTCATGAAATTTATGTACTTTTATTCCTCTCCACTTCTTTTTCCTTTCCATTAAGTTTTTTGTTAATAGGATACAAAAGAGAGAGGGAGAGAGAGAAAGTGAGACATCATCCCCGTAAGAGTAGATGGCCACACTGCAACCCCCTTCCTTCATTCTCCTCTCTGGCACACACGTACATACGTGCACCTGGGGTCTGCGACTGGAACCATGTAGTTGGGTACGAGGGATCCAGCACTTCAACCACCATGCCACCTGCTAGCCTGGCTCCAAGTTACTCTCTTATGCTGTTCAGTCTCTGAATTAAAATATTTATCAGGCATACCTTAAAAATTTGAGTCTAGAGACCAGCAGATGGTGTAATGGCTAAATCACTGGACTCCCACATAGGGGACCGCAGTTCCAGCCCTGGACTTGGCGGCTTACACTCACACTGGGCACATGCGCACACATACCCAAAATCCCAAGAGGAAGACCGGAGGAAAGGAGCTACAGTTTGGCCATTCCTCCTGGGGGATGATTTCTCGCTTTCTGTCTCTGTCTCTGGTGAGTGCACATGCCCTATAGCAAAAATCTCAAATAAAAAAATCAAGTTTATATACATTTTGTAAAAACTTTTTTTTTTGGTAGCAAGAACACATCGCATAGGTTACAACCTACTTAGCTTTTATATTACCTGTTTTTGTCGGGTAATTAAGTCCCAGTCATCAACAAGCCATGGTTTTAGTTCTTCAGGAATCTTTACTTTAACTTCAACTCTGTTCATAAATGTTTCCTCCTAAACACAAAAAGAAAGGACATTAAAAACCTATCCTTTCTTGCTGAATAGCAACTCTAAAAAAGGCCTTCCCCCTTTTGTAACTGAATTTTAGCGGCACTTGGTATAAACCAATGATTTAGCAGTCAAACATGCAGCTTAATTGTCATTTTAAAGATCATACAGACAACAGAGTTAGCCTCCGGGAGGGAAAATCTGACCTTGAACCACAGTCTTTAGTGAAGGTAAAAATAATTTTTTTTGGAGGGGGGGGAGAGGTTTTTGCTATAGGGCGCGTGCGCTCGCCAGACAGAGAGAGACAGAGAGACAGAAAGCGAGAAACCACTCCCCAGGGGGGATGGTCACGCCGCAATCCCTTCTCCTCCATTCTCCTCTCGGGATCTTGGGCACGCACGCACACGCGCCTGGCGGCCCGGCGTGAGTTTTAAGCCACTGGGTCCGGGATGTGAACCGCGGTCAACTACGTGGGAGTCCAGCGACGTAGCCATTACGCTAACTGCTGGTTCCCAGGTAAAAATAATTTAATGGGTTGACAGAGGCACAGCAGTAAATAACACAACACTCTAGGAGGCTATGCTACAAGAAAAGGTACCAAGTTCTCGTCCAGAGACCTCCCTGAACATGCCTGGAGAGCATGTGCCTGTGCCTTGAAGCTGGCTGACCTGGGGGCTGGATAGCGGTAGGAGGACACTGCTGGAAGTGCCTGTCTCCCTCTCGTGCTCGTGGAAGGAACAGACCTAAAAATTATCTTATCTTTAATAAACTTCTTTCAGAAATGGAACAGCCTTACCTGCCTGACACATACTTAATACTCATATTTATCACTGATATCCAAAATCCCAAATGTGACATATTTTCCCCCTTTACCAGAACAGAGACAGAGACAAGCACTTCCTTTAAAAAAAATTAATTAAAAAAATTAAAAAAACCCAACATGGTATTAAAAAACTTAAAAAAAACCCCTACATTTTCAACAGTAGGATCTACCCGGGCCCTTTTCTTCCGAGGAGGCTGAGGTGTCTCACTGGTACTGCCGCCATCTCCATTCCCAGGTGCTGTTAAATTTGTGTAAAAGAAAACGGGAGTTTTTAGCTAATTAAACAAACTTTAAAAATAGTCGCCTGACCCATTATTTCTCCAGTACATAGCTGTTATTTAAACCTAAATTAAAAAATCATATTCCTACTAAAAACGTAGCTTCTATGAATGGCTCTACCAAACAATACAGACATGTAATATTACCATCTTCCATTTATTCAAGAATGTTATCATCTCAGGGGGAGTGATCAGGACTAAAGTAGATAAAAACAACTGACTGCACAGGAGTCTCCACAGTGAACCCACCCTCAGCTTGGTCGACTGCCACTACGTACCCACCTCACCTAGCTAAGGAGTTTGCTGCAAGCCTCATATTTGAGGCCATCAATTCTCACTCTCCCCCATCTCTCTCTGCTTAAACCAAGTAACAGTAATAGTAATAAATAAAAATTTCAAAAAGGAGTGAATTCAAAATGCAAATGTTATAAAGGTAAAGTTTAGTAAATTTAGTATTCTTACTTTTCTGTTTGTTCTTTTTTGTTTTCCTAAAAGGGGAGAAAAAGGAGAAAAAAATTACTAATTCCAATAAAACTGTTTGCTAACCAATGCACTTTTATCACAGTTAAGTTCGCAATACTACCTTGGATAAGATCAGGTAGCAAATAAGTTCCCTCCTACTCAGACACAAGAATTTTTACCACTGATTAAATTTACATCTCCCTTTCTCTGTAATAGAAAAATTAACCGAAAACAGTGGAAGATCTCACCCAGACTTATATTAGTAGTAGTCTGTTAAAAGTACATAGTTTACGGGTTAGCAGGTGGTATGGTGGTTAAGGATGCTGGACTCCTACATGGCTGACCATGATTTGAGTCTCAGACCTGATGGCTTGCTTTCTGACCCCCCCCCTTCAGTCCCTTTCTGATCAAATTAAAATGAATAAGTAAATTTAAAAAGAAATCTTAAAAAAAAAAAAAAAAAAAAGTTAGTTTAGGGACAAACAGTATAATGGTTACATCATTGGACCCCCACATACTCGACTGCAGTTCGAGTCCTGATTCAGTGACTTAAAAATCACACTGCCATGTGTGTGCATACCCAAGATCCCAAGAGAACGTGGCATGTCCAGACCCCCGGGGGAGCGATTTCTTGTTTTGTCTCTGGTAATTGCATGCACCCTATTGCAGACCCCCCCTTAACAGTATATAGTTTATAAGGCCACCACTTGTTCCACCAAAAATGTTTTCAATGGCTAAAATATTTTTTCCAATTAGTGTTCATTCATAAAATATTAATTTTGACTCTAGAACTGTACATTTTTAAAAGTTCATTCTATTTATTTAATTTTCTCAGAGGGCACATATGCTAAAGACAGGGCAAGCGAGGGAAAGTAAGAGAGCACTGCCCATGGGGAATGGTCACATAGCAGTCCCTTCTCAGTGTCTCCCTCCTTTTGGGGAGATTTTGGGCACCCAAGAACATGCACCTGCAAGCTTCTCTAGCCAGCAGGTCCAGACTTGAACTGTGTGATTGGTCCTATGGGCTCCAGCCATATGAAAAAATAATAAACCACCAAGCCACCAGCAGGCCCTAAGTTCCTTTATTTCTTTCATGAGGAAGGCAGAGGTAGAGGCAAAAGGGAGAGGAGTACACATTCACTCTCAACACACTGTGGTCCCACCCCCAGGCTCTCCTAGCTATGACCCTAGGCATGCAGCATCAACGACTCCAGTGTGGCTGGGCATCGTTCGAGTTCTGGATCTGGTGGCTTGCTTTCTCTCTCTGTCTCTCTCTGCTAGACCACATGCTTTGTAACAAATTAAAAGTAAATAAATAAAATTATTGAAATGTATTCATTCATTCATTATCTATACATACATACATAAACACCAGAGGGACAGAATGAAAAAGTGAATAGGGGAGAGAGACAAAGTGAGAAAGCAAGCCACCACGTCCAAGACTCGAACCACAGTCAGTCATGTGGGAATCCAGCGCCCTTAACCACCATGCCACATGTTGGACCCTATGTCTTTTTTTTTTAAAGAGATTTTTGCTGTTGGGTGCGTGCACTCGCGGAAGAGACAGAAAGTGAGAAATCACCGCCGGGGGGGGATGGCCATATCACAATCCGTTCTCCTCCACTCTCCTCTTTGGATCTTGGGCAAGCATGCAAATGCAATGGTGTGTTTCAAGCCACCGGGTCTGGGACTCCAACTGTGGTCAACTACTTGGGAGTCCAACAACATAATTATTATGCCATCTGTTAGTCCCAATAAATAATTCTAAAAAATAAAAAAGACCTAGACTTAACAAAGAAAAAGTAAATCTTATTCTAACTAGAACTATTTTTGTTTATAGAAAGCAACAGAACAATCACTAGACACTAGAAACAGGGTAAAACCAGACATTAAAAGCAAAACCAAATCCGTGACCTGGTGGTCGACACAGTGGAATCCCACATGGTCAACCTTGTAGTTCAAGTCCTGGGCCAGGCAGCTTGAGACTTCCTGAAAGCATGTGCATGTGTTCCTAAAGTCCCGACAGAGTGGAAAAACCAAGGATGGACTATGGTATGACCATGTCCCCATGGAGGTTATTTTCGCCCTCTTTTCTGTCTCCCTCTGGTGAATGCAAATACCCTTTGGCAAAATTAAAACACACACACACGCCACCCACCAACCCACCCCCCCACACACACACACAGAGAAACAACCCCAAATCCAGACCACCCTTGTAATGCAGTGATTAAGCACTGAGCAGTGGGAGCCTGATCTCACACGACCAATCATGGTCCAAATTGTGGTACCAGTGAATGGGGAAAGAAGAAAAAAATTGGGGCATGATAGCTGGTTCTCTCTCTCAAAGTCTCTTGACAAAATAAATAAAAACATAAAAGCCTCAAATAAAAAATAAAACAATTTTTGAAAAATCACCAGGTTTGGGTGAGCCCCACACCCTAGTGTGCAGTGGCTTGGCACTAGGCAGAGGAAGGCAGATGCCGCATGTCTGACCAGCGTTCAATTACCAGCCACAATACTGGCCTGATGGGTGGGTTCTGGGGGCATGCACACATGCCCAGAATTCTACAGGACGGAGAATGGGAAGAAAAGGATTCTGGTGTGACTAAGCCCCTTTGGTGGATTCTCTCTCATTCTTCCTCTTGTATGTACACACATATCCTCCTGGCATAAAATCACCAAGTTTAATTGTTCAATATATTTTAAAGCACATATCCCATCCTCCCAGGAAATAACCGTACTTAAAATTACCCAGCGCTCCCTGATAAGGCTTTTATTTCTGAGTAGTCTATCACATGATAACAACTACCAAGTCTGAACTTCACTTCTAAAACGGTGTACAAGATCAACGGAAAGACAGTGTCTTACACTTCAACATTTTTCTGCTGCAGACCAGATGTCTTCTTTCCTGGTGCAGCTCCTCTCATCTTGCCCTCTGCATATTGCTCCCTTTAAAAACAAATTCAGTACGGTCATTATAAAAGGAGTACTTAGGTGGAAAAGTAAGGTGTATCAGCTTGACTTTATCAGGAATTTATATACTAATTAAGGTCCTAAACACATACACATTCTGATATCAAGTTTCCAACGAGCTGGACGAAGAGATGACGTATTTACAAGACTCAAACCAAAAACTGATGAAAGAAGGCCTAAGATCTAGTTTTCCTACACCTGCCAAAATTTAAGAAATGTAGTAAAAAGTAACTAATCCATTCTCAATCAACAATTCCATTTATTCTGGAATCTACTTCAGCTCTGAAATGAAGACAATTATCCCAAAGACCCAGTCTTTCAGAGAGTCCCTTTCTCTCGATGCGCTCTCAGACGTGAAGCATAAGGGGGTGTGCCTCTGCTCCATACGTGCTTCCCTCACCCAGGTATGTCTTTCCACAGAGCCCAAGAAATAGGACAAAATATATTCACTGTTAAAATTTATTACTATTTATACAGCAGTTTCCAGTAACCTTCTGTTGTTTTCTACCCACAAGTATGTTACCTCCCTCTAACTAAATAGTTTGTCTAATCACGTCACATCAAAACTATGTATGTAATTAAGAATGGCCAACATGATTACCATTAATCATTCTATGTCCAAAAACTCCTTCACAAACACTTCTCAATATTCATTTCATAAACACACTTACTGGTTGGCTTTTTGAAGTTCTCGCTGTTTCTGCAGATTGGTGTCCACGTATTTGAGTACTCTGCTCTCTGGAACCCATTCATCCCAACTGGAAGATATAAGTTAGAAACAACTGGAACATATTTTCATCATTATACATTCACTGTCTATCCTATTAGACTTCAGTGATCCAAGAGCCAAGACTTTGGCTTTCTCTGAATTTAATGAAATGGCACTACAAATTCATTCTCAACTAAAATGAAAATCTAATGAAAGTCTGTTTTGTAAAAAAGGAAAATGCATCATTCCAAACCTAAACTGCCAGAGTCCCAAAGTAGATTACTGAAATCATTCTAAGAAATGGTCAAAAAGTATGGAACTTACCATGAGTTTCTAAGTGTTTACTCTTACAAAAGGAAAATGTTATCTTAAAAAAGTTCAACTGCCAGGCTGGCCAGGTGGCATGTTGGCTTGGGAGGCTAGGTCCCACATGGCAGAATCCATGGTTTGAGTCACCACACCAAGCATCTTGAAAAACATGCTGGGCACATGTGTGCCCATATATCCTGTGGAATGACGTTTCCACACCCCACGCCCCCACTCTGTGAACACACACCCTATAACAAATTAAAAAAAAATTTTTTTAATCGCTAAAAGTGAAACACAGGAGCTCCTAGTAAATTCACTTCAAGAATTAAAATAAAGGGAGCAGGTAGTGTGGTGGTTAAGGCACTGGATCCCACATGGCTGACTATAATTTAAGTCCTGAACACTATGCTTGAAAAACAGTACTGGCTGTCGCGACCAGCAGATGGTGTAATGGCTACGTCACTGGACTCCCATGTAGTCTACTGGGGTTCGAGTCCCAGATCTGGTGGCTTAAACTCACGTCAGGCACATGTGTGTGTTTGTGCCCAAGATCCTAAGAGGAGAATGGAGGAGAAGGGATTGTGGTGTGGTCATCCCCCCTAGGGGGGTGATTTCTCTCTCTCTCTCTCTTTGATGCCCACGTGTGCCCTGTAGCGAAAACCTCTCAAAAACAAACAAACAAAAAAAACCCAAACTCTAAACAAAACAAAACAAAAACAGTACTGACTGGGACCAGCAGATAGTGTAATGGTTAAGTCACCGGATGCCCATGAAGTCAACTGTAGTTCCAGTCTTGGATCCAGTGGCTTAAAACTCACACCAGGCATGTGTGCATTTGTGCCCAAAATCCCAAAAGGAGCATGGAGAAGGGACTGCATCGTGGCCACTCTGCCGCCAGGAGTGATTGACAGCCTTTTGTCTCTCTGGCAAATGCAGGTGCACTATAGCAAAAAACTTTTCTTTAAAGAAAAACAAAATGAAAAAGAAAAACACAACGGGTACACGTGTATGCATACCCAAAATCCTGAGAGAATGAAAACAAAACAAAACAGAAAGAACAAACCAAAACGACCTCCTAAAACCATCTGACTAGTTAGCTGTGTGTAGTAACGGTTACATGCCTTAAGTTTCATCACCTATAAAGCAGGACTAATAGGAGTGCTGGTCTCACTAACAAGAATTAAAATATTGTGCATGTAAAAACACTTGAAAATCGCTGACACACAAAGCATTCAAAGTATATGTCAGAAACAAGAGGTCTACAATATTCAAACACCATCTAGACGGACTCATCTAAGCTTGTAAATTAAAGTATTACAATAGATTATCAGCTGGTAATATTCTTCAACTTTAATCACTTACAAATAAATACACTAACTTGCAAGTCTGGTCAGAATTCTGGTTTTCAAAACCTTGAAAGGCAGTACCACTCCTCTTAAAATGTAAAGGCACGAGGGTCTGCCAGTAATTAAGGCAGCTGGATCCGACATGGCCAACTATGGCTTGACCCAGAGGCTTGAAAAACATGCCAGGCTTGTGTGGGTATGTGCCCAAAATTCCAAGAAGAGAGGGGACTGTGGTGTGGTAATTCTCCCAGGGGTGCTTTCTCTGTCTTCTTCCCTGTCTCTCTCTGGCAAGCATACATGCCCTGTAGCAAACTTTAAAAATAAATAAAAAAAAGAAATTAAAAAAAAAAAGGAGTGGGTTACCAGGTGGTATGAGGGTGAAGGTTCTAGACCACATACAGCCTACTGGATGGTTTGAGTCCCTGACACAGCAGCTTGAAAAACTGTTGTGGATACGCACTCAAATTACTGGCTTAATGGAGAAGGGACTGTGGGTGACCATCCTCCATGGGAGTGATTTCTCACTTTCCCTGTCTCTGTCACGAGAGAACGCATGTGCCAAAGGCAAAAATCTAAGGGAAAAAAAAGTCAAGTGTTCTGGCACTTTGAAAAGCTCCTTTACAGCTAGTCCCATGGCTCAGTGACTAAACCCTGTGCGGAGAACCAGATCCCACATGGCCAAGTGCAGTTCAAGTCCTGGCCATGTCAGGCGTTCTGTGTTTGTGGATCCAAACTCCTGACATGATGGAGAAATGGGATGAAAAACGATGGTGGCACAGCCATGCTCCACTAGGGAGGGATTCTCTCTCTCTCGGGCAAGCACATGAGCCCTCTGGAGATTAAAAAAAGGGAAAAACGCAGGATTATTTCTTTTCTTGAGGAATGCTAAACTGTTTAAGCAGGTGAGTCGTTTGTCCTGCTGATGGAGCTCCTTTAGTAACATGATTAGGTGTATTTTTAAGATAATGTCTTGTTTAATGATTTCCAACCTCTGACCTCTTATATAATATAGTCAAAACAGAAAATAATGAGAAGCAATCCTCAATATGATTTCCTAGAGAAAACTTTAAAACATGCATTTACCTAGAGGTCAGGAGGGGGTGGTGTACTGAGGGAGCTCCTTCAGGAACAGGAAAAAGGGCTACAATATCCTCACGTGTCTTCAAAGTTTTTTCAGAGCGCCTGGGCCTCACAGCACTTCTGATACAGACAGCATAGTACAAAGTAATCTCAGTAACTAGGTGAAGAATTTAGCTTATGCTTTAAGATTCATTTACAAATGGAATATTAAAATGTCTGTGTCAACAAATTCCAATAAGGGTTTTGAAAATTTAGAAATAATTATTGTGCTTCTGAAAAAAGTGTACGTTACTGAAGTTTAAGAAAATTCCTATTTGGGGGTTTAGTTCTGTTGTAGTTTTAGTTGTCTGCCATAAGGTGCACGTGCTTGCCAGAGACAGATAAAGACATAGAGGGATAAAGTGAGAATCTCCCCCAGAGGGAATGACCACACCAGAATTCCTTCTCCCTCATTCTCCTCCCAGGATAAGTATGCACAAGTACCTAGCTTGATTTTCAAGCCACCAGGCTCGGGATTTGAACGTGTCGGCCATGTGGGGAACCCAACCACCTTAATGATCACACCATCTGCTAATCTTCTCTGTTGTTTTTGAAAAGCAGAGTATTCTATAAACCATTTTCAAAAACAAGAGTGCTATTTTTAAAAGAAATAATTTATTTAATTCCATTTGTCATCATCATCATCATTATTATTTTTAATTTGACCAGAGGCAGAGAGAGAGAGAGAGAGAGAAAGGGAAAGCAAGAAAGAAAGCTGCCAGGTCCAGGACTCGAACCAGGGTCCGCCATGTGGGAGTCCAGCGCCCTTATCCACCACGCAACATGCTGGCCCTGAATGTGCTATTTTCAAAACATTTATTTATCTGTACCTATTACAATTGCTTCTCACCCGTTTGACTAAGATCAAGTATAGTATATCTATTCCAACTCTTCCTAGACCAAAGGGAGCTAGTAGTTTTTTTTTTTTGAGTATCATAAGATTCTACTTCAGAACTTTAGAAACCCATTCCCCTGATATAAAATGTATATAAATAAGTACCTTGATCTAAGTCACCGCCAGAGCTTCCTTTGAATGCAAAGAGCTGAAAATTCTTGCCGAATCAAAGGAAAAGGACAACGTTCTTTGCTCTGGGGAACATCACTAGTAGGGTAATAACTGAAGGCTAAACACTTAGATATTTTTATGTATAGGTCAAGCATAAAAAGAATTTCAGAATTTTCTTTCTTTCTCAGAGAGACTTATGCTATAGGGCGCGTGTGCTCCGAGACAGAGAGACAGAAAATGAGAAATCACTCCCAAGGGGTGATGGCCACTTCACAATCCTGTCTCCTCCATTCTTCTCTTGGAATTTTAGACACACACACGCACATGCACACGAAGTGCCCGGTTGAGTTTCAAGCCACTGGGTCCTGGATCTGAACCCTGGTCGACCAAGTGGGAGCCCAGCAACATAATCATTACGCCATTTGCTGGTCTCAGAATTTCAGAATGTTCTAAAGATAGCTTGTAATTGGGGTCAGCAGATGGCATAGCAGTTATGTTGCTGGACTCCCACATGACCAATAGCGGTATGAGTTTCAGACCTGGCTGCTTAAAATTCACACTGGGAAGACCAGCAGGCAGCGTGACGGTTAGGGGCACTGAATTCCCAAATGACCAACTGTGGTTCAAGTCCTGGACCTGCTGGCTTACTTTCTCCTCCTCTCTCTCTGGTCAAATAATAACAATAACAAAAAGAATTAAATAAACAATCCTTAAAAAAAAAAAAAAACTCACATGAGGTGTGTGTACATGCATGCGCAAGATCCCAGGAGGAGAACAAAGAAGGGACTATGGCATGGCCATCCCCTCTAGGAGGTCATTGCTCGCTTTCTGCCTCTCTGGCAAGCACGCGTACCCTGTAGCAAAAACTTCTCCAAATAAGATCACTTGTCATTACCAAAGTAACTGACTCATGATCACTGTTTACAAAGCAATTTTTCTTTAAAGAATTATTTTATTGAACTTTATTTATTTATGTATTTATTTATTTTAATTTGACCAGAGAGGGACAGAGAGAGAGAGAGAGAGAGAGAGAGAGAGAGAGTGAGAAAGCAAGCTGCCAGGTCCCAGACTTGAACCTCGATCGACCACGTGGGAGTCCAGCATCCTTAACCACCACACCACCTGCTGGCCTCTTTACAAAGCAATTTTAAAAATAATTATTTTATTTAACTTTATTTATTTACTTATTTTAAGTTGACCAGAGAGAGAAAGAAAAAGTGAGGAAGCAAGCCACCAGGTCCAGGAGTCAGCCATGTGGGAGGTCCAACGCCCTTAACCACCACCCCACCTGCTGGCTCCTACACAGCATTTAAAAACGAAACAAAATGCCAAGAGGAGATTTGAGGAGAGGAGAATCAGTATGGCCATCCCCTTAGGTGACTCCTCGCTTTCTGTCTCTCTGTATCTCTCCAGCAAGTGCAAGAGCCCAATAACAAAAATCTCTCTCAAAACAAACACAAAAAAAACCCCACAGCTCTCTTTCCTCCCTTTTTCTTTTTCCCCTGCTCATAAACAGAAGGACTGGCAGGTGGCATGATGGTTAAGGGTGCTAGACTCCCACATGGTCGACTGAGGTTCGAGGCTTGAACCTGGGGGCTTGCTTTCTCACTTCCTCTTTCTCTCTCTGTCCCTCTCTGGACAAATTAAAATAAGTAAGTAAATGAAATTAAATAAAAATTTTTTTTAAAAAAAGAATAAAATTAAGGCCCACTGAAATCACTTTCAATCAGTATTAAATTGTTCCTAAAGTTCAGAAAATGGGTTGGTAAACTGTCATTACTTTCCAACCAGGCAATCTTTATTATTTTTTTCCCCTTTCTAAGTAAAAAACCACAACTAGTTTTATGTATAACCACTTGAAATAACATACATTGTTAGTGAGCTTGTGTTAAGGCCAAAAAAAAAAAAAAAAGTACCAAAACCAGACAATAAATATGCCAATCGGCCACTCATTCAACCAGGACAGTCGGCTGACTAAATGACTATCAGACTTAAATCAGAAGACAAGAAATATTCCCAACAATCAGATATACACTTAAAATGGCTGAATACCCTAAGTTCTACAGTTTTATCATGCTCTTTGACAGGTACTATACTGAAACCACACAAGAATTACAAAGCACATGTTTGTGCCAGTTGCCGACACAGGCTACATACTACAAATAAAAATCACTTTTAAAGATCTAATACTCACTTTTTATTCCAACCACTGTAATGTATAAAATATTTCACTTGCTTATCCTTTATGGCAACTTTCACACACTGAAATAAAAAAGAAAAAATACACTTAGAAATATTAAAAACAAAACACTACCCTGGATAATTTTGAAGCACCCAATCTTCCTTTTTTTTTTTTTAATAAATACAGAATTATTTAACTTTATTATTATTTTCTAGTTTTGATCAGAGAAAGAAAGAGACAGAGAGAAGTGAGAAGGCAAGCCACCAGGTCCAGGACATGAACCAAGGTCAGCCATGTGGGAGTCCAGCGCCTTTAACCACCATGCCAGCTGCTGGCTCAAGGCATCCAATCTTTCAAAGTTACTCTACATAAATTATTTCTGGTGAATGGATAGAACAAACTATGACCAGTTAAGCTTTTATAGTATTTAAAGTTATGAAACTGTAAATCAGCACAAATGTCCAAACTTAGAATCATAAAGTGTCACTGTAAGTCTTAAATCCATGCACTTGATAAGCTATTCCTGACATCTAATGAAGGTGGATGTTTGTGCTTTCTCGAAGTCTTAACTAGTTAGGAGCTACTATTTTATAAACAAATTAAGAAAAGTATTTTAAAACTGTTTTAGGGGCCATCGCAGTGTCACAGCAGTAACTTACTGCATAAGCAAAACTAGGTCCATAGAAAAATCATGGGTTCAGTTCTCCACACAACCCCACTGGATTATACAAGGCAGTAAGCGGATTTATATCAGAAAATCAGCTTACATAACTAGCAAAGAGAAGAATTAAAGACATTTAACATTATTCTTAAAAGCCGGGAAAATAAAAAAGAGAGATAATAACTATGACAATAATTATGTGATTTGGGGTTTAAAAGGCAAACCAGAAGTACTGTAATAGTTTATTTTTAATAACTATTTTAAGAAATATTCACAGTTTCGCTGCCAGATAGGAAAAACCAAACAGGTTTAGCATTTTGCCAAAAGCTGACACCAAAATAACATTAAGTAACATTCAGATATAAAAATCACCAAGGCTTGTAACACTTAGCTATACAAATTTTCTACCTTTAAGACATAGGGTCAGGGTCATCAAGTGGCATGGTGGTTAAGGGCGCCGAACTCCCACATGGCTGACCGTGGTTTGAGTCCTGGACCTGGCAGCTTGTCTTTACACCCCCCCCCTCTCACTCTGTCCCTCTCTGGTCAAATTTAAATAAATAAATAAATAAATAAATAAATAAATAAAGTCAATAAAATAATTCTTAAAAAAGACATAGGGCCAGTCTCATGGACTACGGTTGAAGGAGCTGGATCCCATTCAGCCAACCACATGGTTTGGATCCTGGACACAGGTGCTTGCACATGCCAGGTGCACATATGTGCATGCCCCAAATCCGGTCAGGATGAAGAGAGAGAGAAAGGCCTGCAGTGGGCATGGCACACACTGGGGGGTGCTTTCTCCCTCTCTTTGGTGAGTATACATGCCCTCTAGCAAATTAAAAAAATTAGATGTGTACATAAACTTAAAAGTTCCTGACCTTTTCCATAAATCCAAATTTAGCCACTTTAGAACTTAAACAGACACCTAATATGTAATGCATTCAAAACACAAGTTAAAAGTAGTATAAACAATGAATCCCGATTGACACTTTACAATTAATATTAAGACTCTTTCCATAGACACTAAGCTATATTCACCAATAAGCTATATTATTCTTTTTTTTGAAACTAAAATTGTTAAAGTATAGTCAAATCTTAAATATTTTTGTCAAAATATTGCCATAAAAACTTTAACTTTAGGATGCATCATCATATCTTTCTCTCTCTCTCTCCTTTTTTTTTTTTAAGAGAAATTTTTTGCTACAGGACATGTGCTCTTGCTGGAGAGACAGAGACAAAAAGCGAGAAATAATCCCCCCCCGGGGGGGGGGGGGGCCATGCCACAATCCCTTCTCTTCCTTTCTTCTCCTGGGATCCTGGGTATGCACATGCACCCGGTGTGGGTTTGAAGCTGCCAGGTCCAGGACTTGAACCATGGTTGACCACACTAAAGTCCAGCAATGTAACCATTAAACCATCTGCTGGTCCCTCATGTTTATCTTTAATCAGTTTTTACAACCTGAGCACACACTGACTGAGACAAAGAGAGAGCGTTTGAATCCACCCCTAGGATTCAAACTTTGTCAGACAAATTCAACAAGTAATTGAGTAAAATGTACTTGTTTTTGATGTTTGCTTTTACCTTTCACTCAATATACTTACCTCGAAACTCAGCACGACATTTGCACATAAAAATAATTTGGCAGTGTTTTCTCACAAACATTAACTACAAAGTGCTATTTGTTCCCATAACCAATTTCCACCTTCTATCATTCTCCTCAAATGCCACTTCCAACTACTGGGCTTTTTAAGAGGTCAGTAAAAAAGGTCAGCTATGTTTTGACTGAATTGACCCACTAAGCAAGCAGTAAGATACCCAGAAAGAGAAGTCGGGGGCGCGGGGGGTCAGGGGGAAGCTGATGATGTGGTGGTTGAAGCATCTGGATCCAACACGGCCAACCATGCAGTTTGAGTCCCCAACCTAGAGGCTTGAAAAACACACAAGGTTTAAAAGGTCCTGATCAGGAGGCTGGTAGGTGGCATAGTGGTTAAAGGCACTGGACTCCCACATGACTGACTGCAGTTCACACCTCAGACCTGGTGGCTTGCTTTTTCACTTACTTTCTCTCTCTCACTCTGTCCCTCTCCGGTCAAATTAAAATAAATAAATAAATAAATGAATAAATAAAGTTAAATAAAATAATTCTCTAAAAAGAAAAAGTAAAAAGAGTTCCTGACCAGGGACCAGCAGATGGTGTAATGGTTACGTTGCTGGACTCCCATGTAGTTGACTACAGTTCGAGTCCCAGACCCAGTGACTTAAAATGCACAATAGGTATGTGGGTGTGCATGCCCAAAATCCCAAGAGGAGAACTGACTGCAGTATGGCCACCCCCCCTGCAGGGTGATTTCTCACTCTTTCACTAGTCTCTCCAAGAAGTGCACGTGCCGTATAGCAAAAATCTCTCTTTAGAAAGAAAGAAAGAAAGAAAAATAGTTCGCCACCATCTCCATAAATTTGTGTGTGTATGCCTGCCAAAAATCCTAAAAGGGGAAATGGAGGAGACGGGATTGCTGCAGTGACCAATTTTGATGGGGAATGCATTCTCATGTCCACTCTCTCCAGTGGGCATATGTGCCTCTGGCAAACAAACAAACAAAAAAAAAGAAAAGAAAAGAGAGAAGATGGGAAAAACCTATGAGGTTTTAAACTATTAAAAAGCATCAACTTTTATGGAAGCAACAACAAAAAATCAAATTTGATATTAAAAATCAATCTAATCAGTAGTTTTGACCAACTTCTAAAAAAAAACAAACAAGATGGCGTGGGCCCATGAAAAAAATCAAGATGCTTTTGACTAGATGCCTTTCCATCCTTGGAAGAGGGAAAAAAAAAAAAACATAAAAAGAAACGGCTAGTTCAAAGTCCAAATTCTTACTTCATGGATGTAAAATGTCCAGGCTGTTAAAAGATCACTACAGTCTTCATTCATGCCCAGACAGTGGTTCTGTGTGTCTGGGTGTTCAACGGTGCTGTGCCAGCCAGCTGGGGGAAGGCCAGACTCACAGAAGGTTGTTCTTTTAGAAGAAAGCAATACTAATGATCTAGGCAACTTCCTGAATTTGTTGTTTTCTCACAGAAAGCTTTATCGTAAATTCAGTAATTCCAGCTAATCTGCCAAGATAATGTAATTATGTTTGATTAAGGTATACAACAATGATCTGAAACTCCATACCTTTGCTTCATAAAGAAGAGGTCCATGAAAGCACAGCACTCTCTCACCTACAGAAAGCAAAAACAGCACTGGATTAACTGTAACTCCTCTTCATACATACAGATTCACATCAGAGTCATCACACCTATATGACAGTATTCCTAGCAGTGAGGGAAAAATGGCTAAAACCAGTATGAAACAACATTTCAGATCAAACTTCAACCATGTGCTGCCAACAAAAATAACAGAATCTGATATAAACAACAGAGTATTTAAATTATCAAATTACCTATCACCTGCTAAGCAGATAAAACACACTGTAACCAAATATTGGCAAAGCTGGCTGGTTTTATAGTAACTGTACATTGAGAAACCATTTTAATGCTTTCCCTCATGTGGTTTCCAAGTTCAAGACTTTACTCTCCCCTCCATTTGTATCTCTGCTTCCAACTCTTTCTCTACATATTGACATTTCCATGTAAACCAAGATAGCTGGATTTTTAAAACGGTGTCCCACTATGTTAATTCCTAAACTATGTTCAGGTATTCGAATGCTAGGCTGCTTCAATGTACAAAATTCCCTACAAAATCCTGTACTTGCAATTTATATTCCAAAATTTTGGAATTTACCTAACGTTACAATTTGCAGGACTAAATGGAATGTCAGGGACTAGGATAAGTCTTGGAAGCCATCTCTGCTCATGAGACAAATCAGGAAGGAAATACCTTGCAATACCTCAGGTCACCTTTGCTTGCAGCAGAAATACTATAAATTTCTCACCCGTTATTTTCAGACCACTTGGTTTTTAAAGACCCAGAGGCCACAGAAGTATCCAACAGGGCCAGCTCTTTTAGCTCCAAAATGGAATGAAAATAGCTTAGTATATCCAGCCTCTGTAGCACGGACAGAGCTGGAAGCCACATGCCCACCACAGTTCAAATCCAGGCCTAGTCAGATTTAAACACAGGACCAGAATCCTGGTGAGCCTGAGGACAGGAGGAAGGATACTGTGGTGTAACCTAGTCTTGTGGAGGGTACTCTTTCTCTCTCTTGCAGCCTTTCTTATTATGAACAACAAAAAGACTACTAACAGCTCTGAAGACTATTGGGCAACATGGACCTCACGATCCTTTTCTAACTACTGCTGCTTTTGAAAGTTCCAGAGGGGTGACAGGTGGCATGGTTGTTAAGGGCACTGAACTCCCACATGGCTGACTCTACGTCTTGTAGTAGTGTAATTGGGGAAGAGTAGAACCAAGCAAGGTATTTCTAGCTCAGAAATGGAAACTGTATGACTCTGATGCTACCATTACTTTCCAGGTGTTTTTTACTCATTTTAAAATAGTTGTATAATCATCTTTTAATTGTATGTCAAGGACCAGCAGATGGCGTAACGGTTATGTTGCTGGACTCCCATGTAGTCTACTGCAGTTTGAGTCCCAGGCCCGATGGTTTCAAACTCAATGCTGGGTGTGTGTGTGTATGCGCGTGTGTGTGCATGAGTGTGCACGCGCCCGCACCCAAAATCCTGAGAAGAGAATGGAGGAGAAGGGATCGCGGTGTGACCATACCCCTGGAGGGTGGGGATTTCTCACTCTCTATCTCTGAGCCTTCTGCCCTATAACAAAAACCTCTCGATAACAGATAATAAAATGAAAAACTGTATGCAATTTTATTATTATTATTTACTGTGCTATAGGCACTCACCAAAGAAAGAGAGAAAGAGAGAAAGCAAGCCACCAGGTCTGGGACTTGAACCGCAGTCAGCCATGCGGGAGTCCAATGCCTCAAACACCATGCTACCGGCTGGCCCTCTGTAAGCACTTTTTAAGGACAGTGACTGCTTTGCAATGGATTTGGTCTTCCACTTGAAATTATGTTAAATAGGGGGCCAGCAGGTGGCTTGGTGGTTAAGAAGGGCGCTGGACTCCCACATGGTTGATCACAGTTCAAATCCGATGGCTTGCTTTCTCACTTTCTCTCTCTCTGGTCAAATTAAAAATAAAATTAAATAAAATAATTCTTTTTTTTTGTTTGTTTTAAAGAAATTCTGTTAAATAAAGCATAGGGAAAAGAAAAACTCACCCTTTTGTCAGGGATTAAGAGAGTAGCTATAATGCTGGACTTTGACATATCCCTAGAAGTAGAAACCACTGGGAGTATGGAGAATTAGAGGTTCATCTACCTTGAATCTGAGAGTATTAGGCAAAATTAACTACAGTTTGAATATCCTCTATCCAAAATGCTTGGAATAAGGGTTTGGGGTCTGTTTGTTTGGTTTTGGTCCCAGATTTTGGCATATTGATATGCTCATAATGAAATATTTTTGGGATGGGACCCAAGTCTAAACATGAAATTAATTTATGTTTTATGTAACTTTATGCACTATTTTTGTATTGCCATGTGAAGTCAGGTGTGGAATTTTTCACAAGTAACATCATGTCAGCCCTCAGAGTTTTCAATTTGGAAGCATTGAAAATTTTTGGATTAGGGATGCTCAGCCTATAGAAAGAAAGATGGAGAAGAGATGAAAAACCGTATCTGATACAGCAGTTTGCTATTTCTGAAATGACTGGATCCTGTTCTGGGAAATTCAAATAATACAGATCTTTGGTTAGGTTTGAAAATAACACAGCTGTAAGAATCCATTTCAATGGCTTCTTGGTCAGATTTGGGAATCCTGTACGGGTAAAGTTCAGACTTAGCATGAATCGTATGGCATTTTGTGATCTGACCACCTTTGACGCTTGTCCTCTGCTCCAGGGATGATGCGCTGACAAACAGTTCTCTGCTGGAGTAGTCCTGTCTCATGCTTCTCCAGGCTGTTTCCCTCTGGCGGGGAGCCTTTCTTCCCTGCGACCCTCCCTCTATATCCAGAACTAAAGCACTTACTCCAGCACAGCCATCCTCGTCTTTTCTCACAGTGGTGATTAAAATTTTGTGCCTTGGGGACCAGCAGATGGCATAATGGTTATGTCGCTGGACTCACAAGTAGTTGACTGCGGTTCCAGACCTGGACCCACTGGCTTGAAACTCACACCAGGTGCATGTGTGTGCATGGCCATCTGCCGTAGGGGGTGATTCCTTGCTTTCTGTCTGGTGAGCACACTCACCCAATAGCAAAAACCTCTCTCAATAAATAAATAAATTGTGCCTTAGTCTGGCGAAGCTCCTCTCAAAATGTTCTTTAATGCAAAGAACACCCTTCACACAGGAAATCAACTGTATAGAAATAGTCATTGGAACATCTTAAATATCACACTGTGAGGTTACAGAAGCTCATTTAATGTAGTAAAATTGAGTTGCTAATTTGTAATTACCGTAATTTTAAAACAATGAGCAGCTTAAGTGACAGCTGAATAGATCTTCCATGAATGTAATACTGCTGGGATAAGAAAATATACCGCTACTATTATTATGGTGCCTTTTTTGGGGTGGTGATGGTGGAGAATTACACCGATAATAAAATACTAAATTTAAGTTTGATTAAAAAACTATCTTTTGGGACCAGCAGTTAGCGTAATGGCTATGTCACTGGACTCCCATGTAGTCGACCGCGGTTCGCGTCCCGGAACCGGTGGCTTAACTCAAGCCGGGCGCGTGTGCGTGAGTGCCCAAGATCCCGAGAGGAGAATGGAGAAGGGATTGCGGCGTGACCATCCCCCCTGGGGGGTGATTTCTCGCTTTCTGTCTGTTTCTGCCTTTTCGTGCCCTATAGTAAAAACGTCTAAAAAATAAAAGAATCACTCTTTACCAAAAATACCCCTGAAAACTCTTTAAATATCCCAGAAACTTACAATATACATAGGTTTGGGGTTTCTTTAAAGTTTGCAAAGTCCTAGAGAAAAATCCCATACAGCAGTCTGAGTCATTACATTGCAACCAGCGTATCTCCCCAGCCACAGAATTTTCAAGCGTCCCTAGTCGCCAACCAAGAATTTGGCTTCTTCTGCAGTTTCCTAGCAGATCTGCACGTTATATATGAACAGATGCGTTAACTGCGAGAACGGGAAGAGCTATTCCGCTAGACGTCAGGTTCTAACGGTGGAGAAAAGGCGGGTCAAAAGCCAACCTAAATGAACTTTCCAATCAATCGCTGCGCTTTCAAATGACACCGAGGCGGTGCAAGCTGGAAGTGGACGGGCTCGTTGTTTTTGTTTTGGCGAGGCGAGGCGATGCCTTCGGGCCACCCGGAGCAGCCGGGAACGCGCGTCCCGCCCAGCCCGTTCTGTTTTGTCTCGGGCGAGGCGGGGCCCGGGCACGGCGCCGCGGCGGGCGGGGGGCGCTGCTTCTCCCCCGCGGCGCCCACGGCACACGCCCGCGCCCGATCGGCGCAGCCATCTTGCGGCCGGCACCCTACACAGCACCTCCCCCCC